GGGCTGACCTCGGGTTCCACATTGAATTTCAAATTGGCAGTGCAACATGGAGCCCGGGGTCAGCGGGGGACTCTGAGTCCCCTGCTGACCCCAGGCTCCATGAGGACACTTCCACTTTGAAATGCACAAGCGCCCCCACTGTTTAACTGGGTGAACTGTTTCTGTTTAATCTCATTTTCATTTTCATGCCCTTTCTAAAATTAAATGGCACAGTGTTGGGCAGCTGAGGAGTTTTTCCCACCACAGGGATGTTATATTTACCTCTTAGGACTAAATCAAGAATTGCCTCTCCCCTTGTGGGTTCCAGAACCAGCTGCTCCAAGACGCAGTCATTTAAGGTATCAAGAACTTTTATCCCTGCATCCCATCCTGAGGTGTCATGTACCCAATCAATATGGAGATAATTGAAATCCCCCACTATTATTATTGTGATAGCCTTGCTAAATTCCCTCAGTCACTATCACTGTCCTGATCCGGTGGTTGATAATATATCCCTACTGATATATTCTGATTATTGGAGCATGGAATTACTATCCATAAAGATTGTGTAGAACATTTTGGCTCACTTAAGAAATAGGTCAACGGAGGGATGATAGGAGTTACTATAGAGAACTTTCTGGGTGTCTGGCTGGTGAGTCTTGCCCACATGCTCAGGGTTCAGCTGATCGCCATATTTGGGGTCGGGAAGGAATTTTCCTCCAGGGTAGATTGACAGAGGCCCTGGAGGTTTTTCGCCTTCCTCTGTAGCATGGGGCACAGATCACAGCTGAAGGACTCTCTGCATCTTGGGGCCTTCAAAGTATTTGAAGGCTTCAATATCTGAGATACAGATGAGAGGATTATTCTAAGAGGGGTGGGTGAGATTCTGTGGCCTGCACTGTGCAGGGGTCAGACTAGATGATCATAATGGTCCCTTCTGACCTTAAAGTCTATTTTTACTTCGAGTCTACATTTTCTTCATTGTGCCACTCTCTCACCACCACATGTTCTGTCCTTCCAATATATTTTGTGCCCTGGTATGACTGTGTCCCATTGATTGTCCTCATTCCATCAAGTTTTTGCGATGCCTGTTATATCAATAGCCTCCTTTAATGAGGCACGCTAGTCCAACTATCTTACTTAGACTTCTAGCATTTGTGTACAAGCACTTTAATAAGTAGCTAAATTCACTTTGTGGCAAACCATGGTGCTCAGAATTTCCCTTGTGCCCCAGGGCAGAGTCTGCAAGGGTTGGGCTAGTGACTCAGGCCCTGACTGACTTCTGGGGATGGGGGCAAGAGGACATGGAATGGCTGGAGTGGCTACTGTGATTGGGCCGAGGAGCGAAGTCTGGAGCTGTCAGCAATTGCTTCCTGAAAGACAAGGGTGAAGCATCAGGCCCCTCTTTCCAGTCTGGAGCCAGCTGTGGCCTCACCTCTCAGGAGCTCCCCTGCACTTTCTATGCCAAGCTCTAGCCCAAACCTGGGCTGACCTCCATATTTCCCATGCAACCACCTCTCCATTCCTCCCTGTGCCTGATTCTCCTGTTCCCCAAGCTGAGTGTCCGACCACCTCTCCAATCCTCCTCCGGAGCCCTTCCCCGCCCCCTGCCTCAGCAAGTATGGTGGTTGCTTTCACACAGCAGCTCCCTGTGGTGAAAGTGTTTGATTGGGGCAGGTGTACTGTGAGTGTACATCCATGTCTGTGACTTCCCTGGATTCAGCCTCACTTAGGGTCGGGGGTGAAGCTCTGACATAGGGAGCAGGGCAGCCAGTGACCCCACAGAGGCACACTCCTCCCCCCAATTACTGCAGCTTGCAAATGTTTTGCTTTGCTTTCTTGGTGTCAGGCCATCAGTGTAAGGGTCTGAGGTTGAAATTTAGGTCCATTAATGGCTACTAGCCAGGATGGGTAGAAATGGTGTCCCTAGCCTCTGTTTGTCTGGAAATGGATGACAAGGGAGGGATCACATGATGATTGCCTGTTGCGTTCACTCCCTCTGGGGCATCTGGCCACTGTCAGCAGACAGGATACTGGGCTGGATGGACCTTTGGTTTGACCCAGTATGGCCGGTCTGATGTTCTAAATCGGAGCTAAATGTAAGTTGTGAATTCCTAGGACCCGATCCTGACACAAGTAGTCCATGCTCCCTGTTGGAAAAATCTGGCCCAGAATCTCTGTCGGGACTAGCAAGCCATTGCACTCACGGACAGTGAACATTTATTTCAGTTCTAATAACATTTTCTAAAACAGAGCCTGCTGGATGGGGGACGTCAGTTACAAACATTAATGAAGCAGAGAGAGAAAACAGAAGAATGTCAGGTTAGATAAAATGCAGAGACCAACATGATTTGGTTTCCGAGGCCACTCACTGTGAAGTTTATATTACTGGATATGATTTTACCACTTGAGGTGTATCAAAGGCGACCAGAAGGAAGGCCAGGAGCCATCTCCAGATCAAGAACAGCAGGGAACTTAATCAATGCCTGTAACTGTATGCAATCCAGTATGAAACAGCATTTTTTTGTAAACGAACTCAGAATAATCTGAAAAAATAGGGCGTGTTCCCCTTTAAAATTAGACAGGTGAGTTCAGTGAAAGATTAGAATTATCCACTGAATGCTCCCACTGGCCAGCTCAAGAGGTATATTTGACAAATTTGAAAAGCTCAGTTCTCATTCCTGCATGGTATAACCTTCTGCAGATTGTCAGATCCTGCTCTGAAATATTTTCTAGCACCCTCCTACTCACTCCCGCCCCCCAATTCATGGTATTAAGCTCTTATTTCTAGATCATCATCATCATGAGATATCCAATCTCAAACTGCCTCTGATCTAGCAAGGAATATTTCTCATCCAGGGCCTTGCGTCAGGGCAACATGAAGAAAATTTCATGGAGAAAATAAAGCAGGCAAGCCTTCCAGCAGAGCCCACTGCAAACATTAGGGCTGTGTCTACACTGCACCCCTTTTCCGGAAAAGGGATGTAGATTAGACCCTTCGGAATAGCAAAATCCGGGGGGGATTTAAATATCCCCCGCGGTATTTGCATTAACATGGCTGCCGCTTTTTTCCAGCTTGGGGATAAGCCGGAGAAAAGCAGCAGTCGAGACGTGATTCTCCGGAAAATAAGCCCTTTTCCAGAGGATCTCTTATTCCTACTTTCAAGTAGGAGTAAGCGATCCTCCGGAAAAGGGCTTATTTTCCAGAGAATCACGTCTAGACTGGCGCTTTTCTCCGGCTTATCCCCAAGCCGGAAAAAAGCGGCAGCCATGTAAATGCAAATGCCATGGGGGATATTTAAATCCCCCGCGGAATTTGCAATCGCGATGTGTCTCATTAGCATCCCTTTTCCGGAAAGGGATGCCAATGTAGACACAGCCTGAATGTTTACATGTCAGTCTACGCTATGAAACAAAGCACCCAACAGAAAGACATGTTTTCTTAAAGTAAAAATTCAGTTTTATTTGTATTTCAACAGAAACATTACATAAAGAGGCAGAGTCTTTCACAAACACATTTCACCTCCTTATCCTTGGAATGTTCATTTTTCTTGCGAAAAAGGTCTTTGGTAAAGCCAAGCAATGCACTGTTATCTAGAGAAGTACAAGAAAGCAAACAATACCATCCATCTTGCAAATACAGAGGCAAGTTAAAGTTAGCTAGGCAAGTCGATTTTCCTAGGACTGCAGGAAGATTAAGAACAAAAAAGCACATCTGTTGACAGATTTCTTTGGTCACAGTTTTCAGTCTTCTCCTCCAC